GGTCATCCCGGGGTCTGGTGGGAACGGGTGCCCTGGCTTCTGAGGCCCCAGGCCGAGAGGCTGCAAGCCCGGAGCCCTGGGGAACCCGACCTGGTTCCCGGGCAGGCACTCAAGCCCATGGTTTTCTGGGTGAAAGCGGTAAAGGAGCAGAGGGTGGGCGAACGTGGTGCTCCCTTGCAGAGGGGGGGGCAGCAGAAGTCAGGGCCGGAATGCCGTGGGGTTTTTCCACTCCCCAGCTGGCCCTGAGTTCCCGTCCAGCTGGCGTGCTGCATTCACAGCTGCGGACGGTGTCCTCGCCGTGGACTGAGCTCTGGAGAAGAAAACAAGAGGGCCTGGCCCTCACCCTCTGGGGGGGCTGCCAGCCAGGCTCCTGGGACAGGGCTGACTGAGCGACCAGGCTGCTGTAGGGAGGGCTGAGACCCATGCCCACGGGAGGGAGGAAAGGAGCAGGGGGGCCAGGAGTATGTGAGCAGTGACAGGCCCGACGGCAGCCTTGGCGGACCCCTGGGGAGCTCTGGGCCTCAAACAGCCCTTACACTCTGGCAGTGATCGGTCCCTGGATGGAGGCCACCCTGGGAAGGGTGACCTTGGTGAGGCAGCTGTCAGCGGCCCAGGCGATCTCTGCAGGAGGTGGAGAGGTGAAGGCCATCTGCTAGCAGTTCCTTCACAGCTGAGTCAACAAGTCCTTGCTTAGGGAAGAGCTGGTGGTGCATCCCCGTGTTCACGTCCCACTAGCCCACACTGTGGTCCACACTGGCCGTCAGTCCCCGAGGGAGCCTGGAGGGTAAGTGCCCAGTGGCTGGTGCACGGCTTGGCATAGGCTCAGCACCCAAGAAGTGCTTGGTGAAACAGCCTTCCATCTCAAAACTTGGCCAACACCTCCTGGGGCTGAACACAGGGCTGCCTCCTACAGGAAGTCCTCCCCTAGTGAACATGCTTTCTCTCTCCCCCGCACAGCTCTGCCTCCGTGCTGTTTGGCTCATTCTGCGGGTGACTGTGCATCTGGTGGCATGGCCTTCAACTGAATGCTCCTTCTAACCACAGGAGTGAGACTCTAACACTCCTGCCCAGGGCCTTTGCCATGGTGCCCACACAGGTGCCTGACAAGTGGCCGAATGAATCATGGGACGAGGATGATGTGAGCAGGGTGTGCCTGTGTTTGGGGTTGTAGGGTGCAGCATGGTGTAGTTGAAAGAGCATGGGCTCTGCAGCCACTCAAGCCCGGGCTAAGTCTCAGCTCTGCCCTTGGTTTAAGTGAGGCCCTTTCATCTCTCTGAGCCTCAGTTTCCTAGTCTGTGCAACGGGCTGGTAAGAGCCATCCTATTGTGGCCAGTGAGAGGACACATAGCACTTGATGGGCATGAACCTGGTGGGTGCTGCCCCAGGCTCTGTCCCCCTCCCCACGAGCCCACACACCAGGACCTCCACTCACCACTTCCCGGGAGGGGAGGCAGCTTGGGGTTCCGGGGGTGTGGAGCTGGCCCGGCCCACGAGCAGGAATCTTTAAGCGACTTGAGCTTCTCCTTCTTGAGTTGCTCTAACCGGTGCATGGCGGTCATGTGTTGGCGCAGCTGCAGGCCGCCGGCGGAAGGGGCGGCCAGGGCTGAGGTGTCGGCCCCCGGGGGCGTGTCATCCAGCGCTGTCAGGTCTCCCAAGCTTCCAGGCCCCGTCCCCGGCAGGTCCACCCCGCTGTCATTGTTGGGGGCGCTGCCCAAGGGAGAGGGCTCGCTGCTGCAGGATGACTGGGCCCCAGGGCTGGCCTGGCACAGCTGTAGAGGACGGGATGAGGTCAGATCGGCGGTGTGAGGACCACCTGGCCTGCGCCCAGGACTGCACCCACAAGGCACCCTTGCACACCCAGGGGCGGGAAGGAAGCTGCCCTGTGAGGACTGTTCGAATAATATCTTCTCTCAACCTTGGCCTCCACAGCTACAAGATGGACCAAAACTGCCCTCAGGACAGAGTCGGTGGGTGGAAGGGACTCATCGGCGTGGAGAGGACACCAGTAACTGTCAGCCGCCTTGCCCCGCACCGTCCCTGTGCTCAGCCCACCCTCACTCATGCCAACTCAGAGCTGGTGAGTCGTCAACAGGTGGACATCTTGAAGCTGTGCCCACAGAAGCTGCCGGAGCCGCGTGAAGTTGACATGAAAGGCACTTGAGCGTTCCCAACAACTGTGATGTGCACGATGAAGCAAGGGACAACGAGCGCTGCGGCTGCCTTCTCGGCAGGCCACGGGGAGCGTGTTCAGAAGGGAACGGACAGGAGGGAGGGGGCCTGTCCAAGGGCCATCCCAGCAGCCCTCGCTCTGGTCAGGGCAGAGGGGCTGGGAGCTCATGGCGCATGACAGTGCAGAACCCACGGAACCTGGACCTGAGCCCCAGCGAGGCTGACGCTGGAGGAGCACCTCTGGGCTCGTTTCTAGGCTGATTGCTCCCAAATTCCAGACTTTTCTTTGGGAAGCAGCAAAGCTCCATCCTGTCCAGGCACCACCCACGTTCCTCAGCTCACTCCACACCTTCTGTAGGTCAGTCCTCTGTCCTCTGCAGCCCTAACCCTCACCTCCACTCTGCCTGTCCCTCATGCGGGGAGGTCCCCACTGCTTGCTCCTGGGCCTGTCAGCTTGACTCTTGCTGCCAGCCTTGCCTGTTCCAATGGTCCTACCTGCCGTCTACCTATCCAAACCCACCTTCCCCTGGACAGGCCCCCAGCCCACCCTCACTCATGCCAGCCCACCCCGCCCCCTCAGGCTCACCTCAGTAACGTCTATCCTTGGGGGAGGTACAGTCGGGGAAAAGAGGTGGAGACAAAGAACAGGTGGTTAGAACAAAAGGAGTGGAGGCCAGAGGGGTGAGGATGCAGACAGGACAGCGGGCAGGGAGCCCGAGGCGGCTCTGGTGCTGGTTAGAAGGCAGACACTGGGGGCTACTCCGCCCCTCACAGACTGGCCACGTGGGGGCAGGCACTCCGTCGCCCACAGCCTGCCCAGCACCACGGGACCTGCCACAGAGCTTCTGTGAGGCCCACGGTGGTGAAGGAAGGACAGTCGAGCTGGAGAAAGGAGGCACAACGTGGGGTGCTTAGAGAGGGGGCCTGGGAGGGCCCCCAGCTGCAGGTGGGGCGCTGGACCCAGGCGGTGCTCTGGAATGGGCCTGGCCTGCTGGGCGTGGCTTCCCAGGGGACGGGGCCTCCACTGCCCAACTCTGCTTACCCCGGAGCTCTCGGTCTTGATGGCTTTGACGTGCAGGCAGTCCTCAGCGGACTGGCTGGTGCTGCTGGCCTCAGCGCTCTCCTCGGAGCGCTGGCCGCCGGGCTCAGTGCCGGCCTCAGGGTCCCCATTCTCCTTGAGCAACAGGGCGCGGAGGTGCACGTCGTTGCGCTGCTTCTTGGTGACGTGAGCGTCTGGGCCGTGCACGGTTTTCACGTGCTTCCGGAGAGAGCTGGGGTCCGTGTAGCGCTTGGTGCAGCCTGGGATCTTGCAGATGTAGGGTTTCTGGGAGAGAAGCAGGCGGCGTTACAGACGGGCCATGAAGGCACTCGGCATGGGCGCACGCCCCTCCGGAAGCCATGCCGCCTCCCGTGGCAGAGCCTTGGCTGCCACCGCTGGAAGGCGCGCCCCGTTTGCAGCCATGCCATCTGGATGGAAGGGGCCTGCCTTGCCAGCCTGTGTGCACGTTTTCTGGCAGGTGAGCATGGGGCTAAGGGAGCCCCCGCCACACGCTGGGGACAGAGATCAGAGACTGGAGGGAGGGGACAGAGCCTGGTGTGACCATCCCACTCCCTGACCAGGGGCGCGGGGACTTTGGACATCAGGATGAGGGTGACACTTCCCTGTGCCCGTGAGGCAGCGGCTAGGAGCCCAGGCTCTCTGAGGAGGAGGAGACGGGTCAGAGGCAGAGGAACTGGCCCAAAGCTGCCTGGCAATGGGATGAGAACCAGGGTTTCTGAACCTCAGTCCTGAGCTCATATACATGCACACTCTACACCCACATACATACATGCACATTTATATGTGTACACACATGTCTACACACAGGCACATACCCAATACATACAGGCACACACATATACACATGCAGGAGTACACATGCTTACAAACACATCTACATGCACATATACATATAAAGCACACACATACATACCTACATGTGACATACTTACAAATTCACACCCACATCCTTCCCCACACATAATGCATACACATGTACAACCACACCCACATGCATACCCGTATTAACACAGGCATACACACAGGCACACACCCCTCTTCAAGGCCAGCTCATCTGTAGAGACTGAGGGGTTCAGATACCTCTGGGAAGTCCTCTAACTTCTTACAAGCATTGGAGCAAGTCCCTTAGGGGTTCAAAATCTAGCTAAGCCCTGGCTGGTTTGGTTCAGTGGATAGAGCGTCAGCTCGTGGACTGAAGGATCCCGTGTTCGATTCCCGGTCAGGGCACATGCCCGAGTTGCGGGCTCCATCCCCAGTAGGGGGCGTGCAGGAACCAACCAATCAATGATTCTCTCTCATCATTGATGTTTCTATCTCTCTCCCTCTCCCTTCCTCTCTAAAATCAATAAAAATGTATTTTAAAAAATGTATCTAAGCTTTTAGAAATGTTCTTTCCGGAGTCTCCCTGAGTGACAGTATTTGATCAGCAGGGCAGGGCCCAGGAGGTGGGCAGAGCGGATGCCATGGTCCCGCCCACTTCCTTCCCAGGGCTCTCACCCCTGCCAGGGCTCTGGTTCCCGGGGGAGACAAAGGCTGCCCCGTGTCCTTCATAGGCCAAGTGGGACTGGCAGCACTAGCGGGTAAGCCTGGCCTCACCAGCTGCCCAGGCCCTGTGTGCTGAGCTGACAGCTCAGTGGGGAGAGGGCACTTGGCCTCCAGTTGTCTAGAGGACACGGGGTGATGCGTGTGCACGCGTGCCCACGGGGCCGGTGCAGCTGGCGGTACCTCGTTGGAGTGGGTGCGGTTCTGGTGCTTGGCGCGGTCCGAGGCGTTGGAGAAGGCCTTGTTGCAGCCCTCGTGCTCACACACGTACGGCTTCTCCCCGGTGTGGGACCGCAGGTGCGTCTTCAGGTTCTCCAGGCGCGAGTAGGCCTTCGAGCAGCCCTCGAACTGGGAAGAGGCGGGTTTGGTGAGTGAGGGCGCCCCGGACCCAACGCGGGAGCCTGGCCTTGGGCCAGACACGCTCCCAGTCCCGTCTGCTCCTCCCCGCAGTGCAGCCAGGAGCCTGAACTCAGCAGTAACACTTACCCTCCCTTCTGATTAGGGAACCGACACCTGGCATTTCTGGGAAACTTGGCCGGGACTGAGATGTACAGAGAGATGACAGCCGCT